TGGCCACAGAAAATGCATTTGCTCCCGGAATGAAGACCTAGCATGGAAGCTGTGGTCTCGCTGGTTGAGCCCCGGAGGGCTCTCTCTTTGGCTGGCCAGTTTTTAGAACGAAAAATTTTGGTTTCCCCCACAATTTCCACGGAAAACGGTAAAAACCTCGATTTCGACAGAAATCTGGCCACAGAAAATGCATTTGCTCCCGGAATGAAGACCTAGCATGGAAGCTGTGGTCTCGCTGGTTGAGATCCGGAGGGCTCTCTCTGTGGCTGGCCGGTTTTTAGAACGAAAAATTTTGGTTTCCCCCACAATTTCCACGAAAAACGGTAAAAACCTCGATTTCGACAGTAATCTGTCCACAGAAAATGCCTTTGCTCCCGGAGTGAAGAACCCAGCATGGAAGCTGTGGTCTCGCTGGTTGAGCTCCGGAGGGCTCTCTCTATGGCTGGCCAGTTTTTAGAACGAAAAATTTTGGTTTCCCCCACAATTTCCACGAAAAACGGTAAAAACCTCGATTTCGACAGAAATCTGGCCACAGAAAATGCATTTGCTCCCGGAATGAAGACCCAGCATGGAAGCTGTGGTCTCGCTGGTTGAGCCCCGGAGGGCTCTCTCTATGGCTGGCCAGTTTTTAGAACGAAAAATTTTGTTTTCGCCACAATCTTCATACAAATCACTGAAAAGCTCGATTTCCACGAAATTTATGCCACATTGCCCACGGCCTTCAACCACCTCAACTTTTGCTTTCAAACCCTGGGACCCGCTGTCAGCTTTTCCCCTATTGTTCGATTTTCAACGGCCAGTCATCTTTGGAGTCCTTTATTTTGCCCTTGCTCCCGAAGTGAAGACCCAGCATGCGTTTGCATTGGTCAGTCTTCTAGGGAAGCGATTGTGTTGATTTTAACCAAGCAACAGAAAAAGCAAGCTGAATCAAATAACTAAATTCTGGTGGTGGCATTTGGGAGAAAAGATCAGATATTTTTGTGTCTACCCGCGAAGCTTGATTTTTTATTTATTTAGCTTCCTAGAGAGGCGATTTGAACACCGTTTATAGTTAGATGCAGTCCCAATTAAGTAAATACTAATGTATCTGCCCCGACCCACTTACAGCGGCCCGTAGGGCCGCTAGTCATTGAATATCGAATGCAATAAATTCGAATGTTGGCATGCAATATTCGAATATTCGAATATTCGAATAATTTATTCTCCCGATTTTTCAAATGAACGAATTCGAATGAAGAAAACTTATCAGCCAGCCATTGGCGATCCCAAGATTTTGCGCGGGGGGGGGGCTAAAAAATTTTTTTTGAATGAAGGTGCATGGCATTAGCCAAGCACTCCGAAAAAATTTTTGGAGTGCTTCTCAAATTCTTTACCTCCCAAAATGAAGAAAAAGGGGGCGTGGCGCGAGTCACGCCTCCGAAAAATTTTTTTACAAGGCTAATTTGAATTTTTGAAGAATTTTAAAAATTATTTTAATTATCTACGTAAACAAACAAGTCACTTGCACATTTTTATAACCCACGTGAGTAAATTTCGAAAATTTCGCGACTCATTCTCGGGAGGGAGGGCGCCCCCTCGGTCCGCCACTGCAGCCAGCCAGTAGTATCATCAAAATGATAGTGGCGTGTTCATGATTTCATTATGCGTTTTTATCACACATGGCTTCTACATTTTACAATATGTTCGAGTTCGAGAGCTTCTAGCTAAATTTTGATACTTAAATTATGTTTTGTCAATGAAGCAGTCACTTTTACTAGATATCCTATCTAGGAATGCAGCTGGAGATAATCAATTTTTCTAAGGTTGGTATTTTCTGAATAGAAGATGATATCGTAGGTGGGGGTTGAGAATGGGGGGGGGGAGTACGTATAGGTATTGTAGTGAATCACCCTGCTTAAAGCAAAAAGGCACCGTGCCTCTTAACGTGCCTGAACACGTAGGATGTAAGCAACGAGTACTAATCGCGGCAGAATGGCGGTGGTGCTAGGGTGCCTGTAGTCTAGTGGTTTAGTGGTGGGCACTTAGCGCTGAGCGACGAGAGTTCGACTCCTGACCTAGTCTGAGTGTTTTGCGATGAAGCGTGTGGTAGCTCCTCAACAACTATGGCGGCTCCGCAAGTAGCACCACGAACTCTGAGTTTCAAAACGAAACTCAGAGTTAACTCTGAGTTAACGCGCAGCTTTAAACTCTCAGTTTCGGCCAGATTACTACCGGCCCTGGTGTTTGAAGATGTCAGCAATTGCGACTTCATAGGTTTTGAAGCGTATATATATGGTGCTCTATCAGGTAGTGAAAGAATCGCGTCGATTTGAAAGATAGTCGCCGAAAACCAGAATTCTAAATAATTACGCCATTTTTGCGTGTTTAGTGACAGCTGACAGTTAAACTCATATAAATCTTGACTGTGAAGCTGTGCAATGTTGCGCCTTCATAGGGTCTGTAAAGTAAGGACTGCCTTATCAAAACATATCTTAGCCGTACTGATCTATTGATACCGCCGAGATATAGGATCTTAAAAAAACAGGCGAAAAACCGTTTTTTGAAATTCAGTAGCTCATAACATCTTCAGAATTGCATGAATCATGTTGCGTCTTCAAATGTTGGATTCTCCTCTTCAAGAGCTTTCAGATGATATATAATGTATGGGGGTTTGGGGCCTCTCACGGCATATGCCCGGGGTGGAGACTTTTCATACCAAAGTATCCACATCGCCTATGTTAATGTATTCGCTGGAGGCCGCCAGTGGAGACTTTGGTATGAAAAGTCTCCACCCCGGGCATATGCCGTGAGAGGCACCAAACCCCCATACATTATATATCATCTGAAAGCTCTTGAAGAGGAGAATCCAACATATGAAGACGCAACATGATTAATGCAATTCCGAAAAAGTTATGAGCTGTTGAATTTCAAAAAACGGTTTTTTACCTGTTTTTTAAGATCCTATATCTCGGCGGTATCAATAGATCAGTACGGCTAAGATATGTTTTGATAAGGCAGTTCTTACTTTACAGAACCTATGAAGTCGCAACATTGCACAACTTCACACTCAAGATCAATATGAGATTAACTGTCAGCTGTCACTAAACACGCAAAAATGGCGTAATTATTGAGAATTCTGGTTTTCGGCGACTATCTCTCAAATCGACTCGATTCTTGCACTTTCAGGTAGAACAACACTTGCCCTTCAAAACCTATGAAGTCGCAATTGCTGACATCTTCAATCGCAGGATTTACAAAAGTGGAAATTTCGCACAATTCATCGTTATTTTATCATTCGAAATTCTGGTTCTCGGCGGTTATGCCTGGATCGACCTACTTTCTTCGCAGTACGTTATAATAAAATTTACTTAATAAAATTTGTAAAATCTCGCTGAGTTTCACTTCAAAACACACCATTTACTGAACACGTTTATTTCAGATATTTATGCCGCTGTGTACGTAGAAATTTTTATTTATTTAATACGCTCTTGGCGTTCCTTACAAAAGGAACAAAAAAGAACATGAGTTATTCTTACAACCGCAATCAAAGTCTACCATGAAGATTAGGTCCAAACTTCAAATTGGTTAAGAATTATATGTTGACTGAGCTTGTATGTGACTGCTCTAGATTACACTTGTCAGAGTCTAAAGATGTGATCATGGAGATGGTACCCATGCCCCCATTATTGCCAGCAAAACTCTGAGATATTTTATAGCCTAGGTTTGTATGGTGGATATACTCTCACCATATGAGGCAAGTAGGACGAGCTTAATAACTCAAGATCAATCTTGAGTAATATGGAGGGTTGTAATGAATCGTATGTGATCGAGAAGATCAGCAAGTTGTTGAAAGCTGTGGAGGTGGTGTTCACGCCTACTCGCCTACTCGAAATATGCTTTGAATGTCTCTTTTGCATTTGTTTTGCTTATTTACCGCGCATTGGCGGCAACGACCTGGAAGAATAGGCTCAATCAACGTTAACGCTTCCCCCCCCCCCTCCCCCCGGTCGACTTTCTTGGGGGGTGAGTGTCCGGCCTACCATCTTCACTTCTGGCCGGCCAGTGGTAGCTGGAGCCACCTTCACTTTTGGGGGGCCCGGCTCCACCTATCGCACCTCTGCGAGTTCCGGGGAGGAGTGCGAACGGGCGTCACGGTGACGTCACAAAAAGGCGAATGGGACCCCTCCCCGGGGCTCGCAAATCTCTGGGGGGTGCGCCAGATTTGGAGGAGCCCCGGAGCACCAAAATGCGTGAAATGGGAGGGCTCCAGAGCACGAAGTGGCAGATCCCCGCCGTTTGCCCTCGGAGGTGTCCCTTAGACTGTCTGAGAAAGGCAGCGTTGCGCCAAAATTCCATCTCGATTTTGCAGCTATAGGGCCTTTTCGTGGTCCTCAACCCGAATGATGCTTCGGACCGTGGGAAGGCCAAAAACTGGGCGTTTTCGCATTTTTTGAGGACGGACAAGAGCTTATTGAACAAGTAGGACGGTCTTAATATGCAAACTGTGTCTCCTGTGATGTTTTCACCACGTTAGAGAGAATGCGCATGTTTCATGTGTTCCTGCAGATTATACAAGTGAGGTCGCTCGACGCGTGCAAACCAAGGATTGCGGGTAGATTCAGGCGCATTTTTTTCTTGGGCGGAACACAGAGTCTGGTGCCTTCGCGAGGCCAGCATGTACCATTTGATTTAACTGGCTTGGCTTCGGGAAGGCGGGGCTTCGTGACATAGTTAAGGCTAGGCAATGATCAGAGAGCACTGGCGAGAGAGACGCAGGTGCGTCGCGGGCGCGAGCGGCCTTGATTAGGTCAAAAAGCCCCGCCTTGTCGAAGCCAAGCCAGTTGAATCAAAGGTTAAATCTGTTGCATCTCTGCGATTTCTGTACGAAAGTTTAATCTGTAGCCAAACTGCCTTCGGATTCGTGCTCTCTTCGGTTTCAGCATCGTTCTGTCATCGTTCAACATTGGATGAATTTTGAATTTTTGTGAGTTCATGAATAGTGGGAAGTATCTTAAAATTACCACAAATTTCCAATATGTAGCTATTGACAATCGCTGATAGATGATTCTCTGACTGCAGTGTTTCTTGTCAAATCCACCATACGTGACAAATCCTCCGGGAACGTTTTCTTCGTCTGTAATTGTGTTTGAAGATGTCAATCTAAAATGAATGCACATGCTATGTGCTGCACTTATGCTCTTCAACATGCTTCAAATAAATTGTGAAGATAGGCTCTTTCACTAAGCCAAGATTCCATGCACGTTCAAAGACGTTGAAAATCCTTGATAAGAAAGGGCAGTAAACGCCAGTCCTAGCACACCGTCAAAGGGGTCCTCAATAAATCTCTTATCGCATTAGATATAATCAAATTCAGCTGACCTTTGCCATACTGTCATCAATTTTTACTGCTTGACCAATTTGTATGTCAGGCACTTCAAGTCGATTTGTATCAGTGTCACCTATTCCAAGTGTGTCCATACCAAGTACTCCTTTCACACCAATATTTTTATAGCGCATGTACTACAAATAAGGATTTGAAGCATGAATATCAATTCGTCGAGAGATGTGACACAGTTCGTTCAATCACGATTATCTCAAATTGCTTTCCTAAGGGTGTATATGTTTGTGACTTTGTTGAATCAAAAAATCGTTTTCCTCGGCAAGGATTTGGCTTTCCTAGCCTCTTCTCGCAGCAAATTTGCTCGGGACAGAAGACCTCACAAATTACTAAAATGACACATTCAAAGGTATCGTTTCTGCTCAAATATCGGCCTTGTAGCAGCGGTTTTTTGTTTCATTCTCTCAAAAATACTCCATTAATCCAACCATCCATAAGGATTACATTTTCGCCAGATGAATTGCTGGGAAGTTGACAAGAATATACATATCCGATAGCCTAAACCTCCCCATTTTTATAAAAGTGGTTTAAGCCTGATTGATTTTTTAGTCTGAGGTAATGAAAGCGAAAAATGATAACAGAAGGCTAGCTTTCATTTTCATAGTTTGAAGGTTATTTGAAGTGGGTTCCAAGGGTATGTAATAAGCGCAAAAAAGTTGTTAAATCACCTTTGAAACAAAGTTAACATCTTTGAAAATTACCATCTCATTCGCGTGACCCAATAATCGGAAACCTCAGAATTCGCTGAAACTTGGCTCAAAGGGTTATTTGACAGAGTAGTTACTAAAATGATGCTCTTATGCTTTTAGAGCTTTTTATATGTTTACTGTACACGATGGCAGCCCAAAGCATCAATGTGCTTCGAAATGATTCTGATTACAAGAATGCCCCTCACTTGACGTATGGTGTGGACCCCGGCCAGCTTCCCATAGCTTCCCGGTACCTGCGAGACGCACCCGCAACGCACGCCTTCAGTGCGTCTCCTTTCCTAGCTTTTGATGGAAAGTCCTCCTTTCTCTTACTTTTTTTTATTTTGGTATACTATATTCTCTCTATTTCAGGTAAAAACAATTCGCGATGACCTCTCTGAAAAACTGAGATTTGATTGGATATTAAGGTAATATTCCTTCAAAAGCTTTTTGTATAAAATAAGAGTCCCTTTCGGTTTGATGTGTAAGGTGTAGACAGTGTCTCAAGTCAAAACTGAGCCTTCCGAGAAGCCAATAGGCATTTGTTTACTGAAATGTCTACTTTTTTTTTGAAATTTTTGACCACTCTAGTCCGTACGTCTACGAAGAGAAATGCTTTAGAAATGCTGTTGTTCTTTAATTTCTCTACGTATACTTATTACAACCTACCCATCAGTGCAAGTTCGGAATATGCATCCATCGATTGAGTTTGAGGTACTCATGGAGGTTGCCTGCGTTCCATCCTTGCATACGTCTCTTTCGAAGTGAACCTAGAGGTTTCCACTTAACATTTCTCTCCTTTGTGAGCTTGAATATGCTCTACTGCTCATGAATGAGGCGAGAAGCACTAAGAAGGGCGCGCGCTGCGTGCGCGCCGCGGAAGTGCCTATGGGAACCTGGCCGGGGTCCACACTATAGCAAGGTGTGTCAGCGTTGTGGGGGTGACAACAAACATATAGAAAAATGGAGAATCTTAGAAGTGCTGCAACCTCGCGTACAGGGGTTAAATGACTTGCTGATCGCAAGCACCTTATCCATGAGAGTGACGCTCCACTATAGAACTAAGTGAAGGCTCTCACTCCATGTACTACTGTAACCACAATATTAGCTATTGTGCGAAATGAATGTGATACACGTGATTAGCATGCCAGATAACCGCTCTAATCTGATGACTGAATTTTTGGTGTAAAAGGAATGGAGCCTCGCATTTTACGAGATTTTTGATAATTAGAAAGACTAATATAACCGCAACTCGCCTGCTTATCGCGACATCATATATAACATTATCATAATGTTATTTCCCGGAGTCCAATTCTCGTAGTCTGCATATGCGGGAGAATAGGTTGTCTCCGGCAGTGATACCCCGATCAAAAAGCAGATATCCGGATACAGTAAAGCAAAAATAGGTCTGACTTAAGTTCTAAACCTATTACTAATGCGAGCAGTTGCGCTATCATTCGGAACATTCGAACAGGAATCCTGTCCTGACTCAAACATCAGGACAACATCCAAATGCATAAAGATTTGTTTACTCTTTTATGCTTTTGAAGTGCGTCCGTCAGAAAAGATTACACGGCAGCCACCCACTTCAGTTTTTTTGTGCTTACCATAGGCACAGGTTGTTAGCCATATCATCATCGCTATGTGCTAGCAACATATTGATTTTTTAAAGTCTTTGAATATGAAATGTAGAAAGATATGCACTCCAATGAACAAGCTATTTCTTCGCATCAATTCAGTTGCTGACATGCTCTCATAGTAAGATCGAAGAAAGTTTATCGAACACAATGTAAGTTGTACGTTTGAATACGATGTGTCAAAGATTACATAAAACGAAGAGATGCAACTATCTCAATGTGCCACTACAGATGTGTTTCCTATTTTTTATACCGTTTGAGAATTGGATAAATATGTTTAAAAGCGAGATCAATGTCCTCTTGATTCCTAGCTCCCGTGATAACTACCTAAACACTTCCTTTTTTTTTGAATAGTTATACATCATTATCAAGGCTCACCTTACCCGAGACGAAAATTAGCAGTACAACCCGAGGATGTACCATTCGATATATCAAACCAGGAAATAATTCAGGCTCGTACGTGCAAAATTGTGCATGCATAATGCATAAACCTTCAAGCTGAATCGAGAAATGCACATCACATGATCCGACAACATTTTGTACCTGAAGTTTGCAAGAACGAATTACATAGGATTAAGGAGCACAACTCGCGTGTTTTCTGCTCTATTGCTAACTATTATATTAACACGAAATTTTTGCGTAATTTGGACGAAAGTCAATAACTTCTCAAATACTAAAGCAAAACTCTCACTTCTATCCTAAAAATAGAGAAGGTCGGATGTTCTAGCATAGCTTTATATGGGTTAGTCATCGAGAGCGGAGTAAATATGGTGTGTGCTAGAAAATCGCGGAGTGCCGGTAGCTAGCTCAAAACTGTGTGAGCATTTCTTAGATACCAAGAGTCCATATGTTGCGGCAGGCTTCAATCTTGTACGGAAATGCAAAAACAAAAATATTGAGGATAACGTTATTTCACGGGAAAAATCTCCTTACCGCTGCAGTTTTTTTACAGAAACACAATTTTTTTCCAGAAATTCAAAATGTCTATTTAGAGCACTGGCTTTTTGCAGCGACAAACAGCATTATGGGTGGAAAAGTGCAGTAATGGTGTGATTTATGTGATATGACACTTTCCTCACATTTTTTGTTTTTGCACGAGGCGACGCTTGCTAAAGCAGCGTATGGGATCTTGCTATGTAAAATATGCCACGAATTTTTTGGGTTAGTTACAGCGATTTTCTACTGCCAAACTCAAAATCGCAATATTTGGAACGCCGTATTTGAAAGCTTCGCTCTGGCGGCTAACCCATAGAATGCTAGTCTACTATAAAGCGCAAACCTTCTACTATACCGCAGTGTATATTTAGGTCTGGTATCTGAAAAGTTATTGATTTTGTTTGTGTTAGCAAGGAACTTTTGCGCCAACCTAAAGTAACAACGTAAGGGCTGAAGGGCACCATTCTGTGCTTCAAGTATCGCGGAAGGAGTTGTTCTAAGGTTATTGCCCAGCTAGGCTCAGATCAAAATCGACTGGTTTGATTATTTACTTCACGCATTCATCATAACATTTTTTTGCAAAAATTTCTGCCATTCTACAATCTTTTTGTTTTGAAGTTACGATCCGTCCTTGGATCGTACGCTCCAAAGTAATGTTTTTGGAAGGTTCGAACATGTATTCAGAAGTTTTACCAAGAGTGTGTTCATCGCTAATCATGGGAGTAGCATCCTTTCAATTTTGACGTCATAAGCCTAAGGTTACGATGTTTTTACGATTACGAGGTCAACATCACATTGTTCGTGGATTGTATTACGTTGGCGCAAATAGTGCGTGTTTTGCAAAGTTTTGTTCGACGAGCTATTATTTCGCCAAGGCTTGCAATTTTTTAGAAGCAACACTAACCATCCGATGCACTAAACCTTCCACTACTTGGCGCACACTCAACAGTGCTGATATCTCAAAAGGACAGAAAACATTTGGAGAAGAGAATAATTTATCTGAAAGCTCATTTGAAACTCTTGCAAACGTTGTTGCTGAGACTGCTGCTTAGCGTATGTTGTAGCTGCTAGTCGATAACACAAATACAAGCTAGGACAACGAGATCTGCGAAAAGTATAAAATACGCAACAAGTTGCTATACTTTCATGCAAATAATGGTAGCAGAATAATCTGCTCTCAAGTCCACAGAATCAAATGGAGTTTGGCGATTGCTTTTTCAGACGAAATTTTTGAGTTAAAGTATGACGAAATCATTTCTTTATCTTAAGGGTCGATTTCTCTTAAATCCAAAAGTTCCAAAAATATACCCAAACTTTGCCATATGCCTACGATTCTATCACATGTAGCAGCTATTATTTAAAAATGTATTCGTTTACACTTAATCCTCACCAAAGTGATTACAATAAAATTTTGGTTTGAGAGCGGCTTCTTGAACTTCTTCAAGTTTCGTGATTAAGTCCAAAAACCTTCTTCAATTAGTTAGAAAGTGCGTAGAAGGCTTTTAAGTAGTGTACAAGTTTGCAAAGGAAACTCTGATGGAAATAGTCGCAAACAAGGCTCGGCACAGCTGGCTAGGGCGAAAGCAAAGGGGACATCGTTTTTCCGGGGTCTGGGCGGAGAAGAGCCGCAAGAATGCCGCCGAAATGCCACCGACATGCTGTTCATCAAAGGCGTTGTTTTCAGCCAACACGCAATAGTATGATACCAAATTTGGTGTGTGATGCGCGTTGGGGGACCCGAAATATGGCTTAGAAATCTATGAAAACTTGTGTGAATGAAAGCTGTGCTGAACTTTTTTCTGAATTAGCTGGCACCGTGCCAGCTAGGTGCCAGCTGAGCTGGCACCGACCTTTTACTCACATAAGTTTACACTTTTGTACATAAAACGTATCTACACCGTAAAAGTTTACATACAGAGAAGAAACAATTTCATAAGTTTTCTTTTCAGCGTTTTATAGCCATCTGAAAATTACTCGGTCTGCTCCGCAGTCGACAAATCTACTTTTTCTGCTTCTCAACATGTGATTCAAAAAAGGTTGTTCAATGAAATCAGCATGCATGAAAACCCTACTACATGCTTTTACATAATCTAAAAATAATGACAGGTCTTCAAAACAGGTCAAAGGGGACTTCATGCGAAATTTTCAAGATCAAACGGGACTGCTTTTCAAATTTCCCTGGTGCCAGCTCTTGCCGGGCCCTGGTCGCAAAGAAAGGGGCACAGAAATATACTCATCAATTTTGCACCAACCTAATATTTTGGACTTGCTACACCTGCTGATCACGATTGTAACATCAGTTCATCAGGGGTTTCTGTGGATTACGGTAGTCGATCGAATCGCAAAACAGGAGGTTGTTATGGAGATGTGGTAGATGGCAAAAGTCGTATTCGCAGGGTTCGAGAGTTCATAGCGGACGCTTCGTTTTTCTTTGTCTATCGGACTTATGGAGATTCATGTCCTTATACTTGAGCAGAATGGATGACAGGACACTGCCATACAAACTAAGAATCTAACTGTTTTGTGTATATCTCTCCGTGCGCGATTTCTTAGGGGACCACACCTTGTCTTCAAAGTCATCTATCTTCCTATAAGCATGACGAAAACGTCATAATACTGTACTAAAAATACTATGCCGCAGGTATATTTGTATGAGAAAATATAAAATTTTATAATCTCAAAAACTTCAATAAACCACTGTTGAGCTGGGGTTGTTGGAAAACTTTCAACTTTATTCTCTTTATTCCGTCGAGAACACGTCTAACCGAGTCATAATAGAACCTCAGTACAACTTTACGACGATTCCATTGAGTTAATGGGAAGGTAGACATTTTGAAAACAAAATGATCCCTTACAGATCATCTTTTGGACGATCACATAAAATAAGGAAAATCCTTGCATGGCAGTGTCGTACATCCAGTATGCAATAATATGCAATAATATACTATACCTTGGTGCATGAAACATCAGGGTATGAGGACCTTCATAAAACAGATAGGCAAGGAAGAATTATAATTTCTAAGGACAGCAAGCCCCCACAATGGTCGGCCGCCTCATCGTGGCGTGGGGGTGACACTGGGTGTCGAACTGCGATGCACAGCCGAGTGTATACTCTGGCAGGGCCTCCCAAGCTGTGAAGGAGTTCGACGTTTCCGGTTTCGGCCGGATGCCTAGCTAAGTGCCGGCCAGGCCAGATCCACCGCCGTCTGGTTTTCAGGTCGCTAGGCGGTTCTCCCCGCTCCAAGCCCGGGGTCAGCGATCGCCCCGTGGAAATCAAGAGTTGGCCTAGTAAGTCTGCTCTTGTAGGGGAATAATTTCATTACTCTACCAGTTAGAAGAATAGAAAGAAACCCTGTACATCGGATCCCGCCTACGGCGCCGGGTGGTAGCAAGACTGATGTCAGGGTCCTCAGGGCGCCTTTTGGATTGGACAAAAACGACACGTCTGCCCGGACGACACGCCACGAAGACTGCCTCATGCTCTGCACCTACAACGCCAGGACAGTCTCCACAAACGCCGACTTCCACGCTCTTCTCGACGCTGCAGAGCACATCAAGTACCACATCATCGCTCTGCAGGAAACGAAGTCCAGGAAGAAGGACGTGCGACAGATGAATGACGGAACACTCATCATTCGTGGTGAGAAGGTTCCATCACGAAACGTGGGAGGTGTTGGCTTTGTCGTCCACCCATCTATCGTCCATCTTGTCGATTCGCACGAGATCCTATCACCCCGACTAGCCATCCTACGACTACGCCCTCCACGTCAGAAGACCATCAGCATCATCAACTGCTACTCTCCAACATCAGCAGCTGACGACTCAGAACTAGATGCTTTCTACGAAGACGTGGAGGAGGTCGTCCGCAACGAAAAGTCCTTCTACAAGTATGTTGTGGGCGACTTCAATGCGAAAATCGGGATGCCACTAGAAAAGGAATATAGGATCGGGAAGTTTGGATATGGGCTCCGGAACGAAAACGGCAACCGTCTTGTTGGGCTTCTCTCCGCCGCACGACTTTTCCATGGAAATTCCATCTTCATGAAGAAAGAACATCGCCGGTGGACATGGGAATCGCCCAACGGAACGACTCACGCGGAGATCGACCACATTCTCGCCAACCGAAGGTGGAGCTTGCTCGATGTCTCAGTAGTTCCATCCTTCTGTAGTGGCTCCGATCACCGCCTCCTTCGAGCGAAGATACGACTCAGCCGAAGGCTGGAAAAGAAAGTCTGTCACAGTGCCGCGAGAAGGAAGGAAGTCGTTTACGACGGTAACAGGCTGGAGGAGCTCATATCAAGATATGACTGGCCCATCGAGGAGGACCCAACGTACGACTACGACCGGCTTCTGAAAGGATTGCGAGCCTGCGGAGAATGTGCCTCAGTGACTTCTGAGAAGAACTTGGAACGTATTTCGAAGACCACCAAGGAGTTGCTCGAAAGAAGAAGATTTCTGAGGCAGGATCCGAATGCAACCCATCTCGAGCGACTGATAGCCAACGCCAGTTGCAGAACAGCTTTGCAGGAGGATCTCAGGAAGTACAGGCAAGCCAAGATACTGGAAGCAGCCGAAGAAAGACGAAGTCTTAAGAAATGCCGAAGGGA